CTTTTAACCAGTAGATGTCCTCAGTGAGCTAAGAAATCTTTTTCAAAAGTCATTTTTTTTCCTTTTCCCTTTTTTTCTATTTTTTCAGGAAAAGGTGGAGGAAGAAATACTCAACAAAAGGCAAAACAGCATAGACTGATAGTAGAATTCTTAAGAAAAATTTATATATATATATGTATGTATGTATATATAATGTAGTCTTTAAAGCTTTGTTCTATTCTTTTGTTCGCCTTTCTTCCCAAACATGTAGAAGCTGCCTTTCCAAGCCAGGGAAATAATTCCAACAGGGCTCTTACAGGCAAAAAAAAAAAAAAAGGCAAAAAGGCATAAAGAGAGGAACAAAAGAAAAAAGATCTCACCCGGATTCACCACGGTGGGTTTTCAAGCTTAGCTGTTCTTTGACTTGCGGTTTCTAGCGGCTAAGTGATCGGCCATTTTACTGGCCGATCTTCTTCTCCGTCAGCCCTCAAGAGTTTGGCCCGGACAGCTGGAGGAGCCGCTGCTCCTCCACAGCCGAGCGAAGCCTCTTCGACAGAAGTCACACCCTCCAGGGCGACTTTAGACCCGCATAAGGGTCTACCGGTGGAGGGAGGCTAGCCGACGAGGAGTCGAGTCTCTTTGTGCGACTAGGAGTGCCGTAACCTGGAACTGGAAGTCCAAACATTAGCATATTTTTAATATAGGTAGTCTTCAACTTGCCGCTATTTGTATAACTACCATTCCAAATTATGATGGCACTGAAAAGTGACATACAACCACTCCTGGAACTTAGAATCACTGCAATATCCCCTTGGTCATGTGATCACATTTTGGATAGTCAAGGACTAGCTTTAAAAGTAATTGTAGAGAAATAACTCAGTCTATATAAATACAACCGTACCTTTTTAGTAAGCTAGATCAGGGGTGTCAAACTACCAGCCCGCGGGCTGGATGCGTCACGCGGAAGCTGTGCCCATCCCAGCTTTGATAAGGGAAAAAAGTCACGATACATCGTGACATGTCACGTGACTCGGCGAGTTTTTGCACCCCTGAGCTATATTATACAAGTGGTAAACAGTTAAAAGAACTGAAATGCCTAAAAAAAAGTTATTTTATGCATGACATCAATCAATATTAATGTGTTTAAAGACATGCCATCTGTATCCAAAAAATCCTACATCTACTGCATGGGGTTTGTTAAGAGCTGTCAGATCTCAAAATCAACACCTCATTTTGCAAAAGTACACCTAAATGGTAAAGCTAAAATGCTGGACATATTCTAAATATTGATTTTTACTGATACAGTAGTTGTTTGAACTGTAATTTATAGTGTAAATTTTACATCTCTGATGAATAAAGTAGGTTAATAGCCTGCCCTTAACATTATGACTTTTGTTCTCTTTAACATTAGAGTCTTATTTCTTATCTACTTATTATCACAAAATAAAACTCCCCAGAGAGACATTTAAATATTCCTTCTTGGGAATACTTGAATGGATGTTCAGAATTTTATTAAAAAGTGCATGAAAGACCAGCCTAGTAGCAGCTGTGTTTTCTTCATCTTATTTTTATAGCTAATAGGACATTTGACTTAAGTAGTGGTTGGATTGGAAGCGGAATACATGAATTACACTGTTTTGTGTAGTTACCTTTGGTTTAATAAAGATAAAAGATGGAATCCACACACTGATGTAGAATGAAAATAGTGTTCTGTAAACATAAGTATCTTTCGGACAGAACAGAGGATTTTATACCTCATCTATTCCTTTCAAATTCAGCCAAGTTTGTGGAATGCAAGCTTCTCAGTAAATGTTTATTTTATTTGCAGGCTGATTTGGGAGCCTAACAATTGAAATATGTGTAATTCTTTAAAACTACATGTAAAGTATTTTCAAACTTTTAAAAACCTCAGCTATTTTGCTTTAATAATGCATGCACTGTTTTGCAAAAAACATTTTTGATAATCTCTTGCGTATGAATTAGAGTGTGGAACATTTGCACGATGCAAAAAATACTCATGCTTCAGGTTCCTTGTTAATAGATTTGAATATGCCTAGAAGCTTTGAAAAAGTGAAGTAATATAGAGTTCAGAGGTAGATACATTTTATATATTTACATATATTGAGCTTTTGAGTGACGGTTGACTCCTGATGGCTACTGGACTAGTCCTTGCAGTTTGCTATGGGGGACAAAACTTTACAGTCTTCGGGTTTCTTGCTTGATGCCTTAATCACTGTGCCAAACTGGCTGTCAAAGATTGTGTATTTACTTACATAAATAGTAAATATCCTTTCCAACATTACCAAGGCAACCTGAGTGTCTTCTTTTCATTGGTCTGATAGTTTATAATGCAATCCAGAAATGTTTAGTACCTTAACCTCAAAAATAGTGTTTATAACCTCCTTAGGCCAGAGTCTACCTCTATTGCATTTTTATTCTTCAGGGGGAGGGGAGAATGAGGTTATTTCCAAAAAATAGTTCAGTGATTATTTCTAAAATTGAGTACAGGTCATCTTTCTTTAATATCTATTTGTTTGATGACCATCTGAAGTTATAGCAGCACTGAGCAAATGGCCTCTAAGCTACAGCCATTGCAGCACCCCAGGGTCATGTGATCAAAATTCAGATTCTTGGCAGCCCATTCATCAAGTAGAAATCTGAGGGATGGCAGCGGCAGCTGGCTGAGACTGCTAAAGGCCTCAAATGTCCCTTCAGCTCCAGCACCATTGGTGCTGCCATCACCCACTATGGCCTGCTGCTCACAGGGTGGCCAAAAGAGCACAGAGGGAGCGAGGGGAGATAGGTAAGTGGGAGTTCAAAAAGAGGTAACCTGTTACATTTTGAGGCTCAGGGCTAGGAAGTCCCAAGCCAGAAATGACTTGGATTGGGATGGACGTTGCCTAATGATCAGCGGGAATTGGTTAATGATGACAATGGGGATTGCTGGGATTTCTGTCACTAAGCAATGCAATTGTGTGACACTGCGCTTTTCAACCCCGCTGTTTAGCAATGGAAATTCCAGTCCCAATTACCTTCGTACCTTGAAGACTACCTGTATATGTATTTCTGCAGAGGAGCAGAAAGAAAATATCATTGGATAATAGTTACACCTTACTGTATTCAGTTCATAAACTATTTAAGTATAGATAGTGGAGAAAGAATTGCCTAGTCGGCCTTTGGGGAAACCTAGTTGCTCTAAAACTTATGGCAGAGGTCCCCAACATTTTGGGCACCAGGAACCGGTTCCATAGAGAAAGGTTTTTCCACGGACCAGACAGTGTGTGGTTTTGTGTGCTACCTGCATCCCACAGATGGGGCTTGTGCGGACAGGTTGCCGGCATGCTGCAGCCTTTTACCAGTCCACGGACCGGGGGTTGGGGACCCCTGACTTATGGGACTTCTTGCAAATGTGGATGAAATAATTGTCTTACAATTTTTGAAATGTTTAAATACTGCTTTTATTAGAAACTGAGTATATTTGAAAAACTAGGTTAATAAAATACTTTCGAATTGCTGCTGGGTTTCACTAAGCTCCATACAACATCACTGTTGTTTTGGTCCTTATTCTCTCATGTTCTGCCATGGCCTTCTGGTAGCCTCTTTTTCCTGTCTTCTTAATGCACATTTTACGGTTTTAAAATGATGAAATGTTTCCTTGCTCAGCCACATGAGATGAAGGTCAAATGTTTAGCACATCCTTCTACTATTGTTGTAAGTAAATAACACATAACAAGACTGTTTTGTTTGTGTAGCAAAGAAAAAATACATCACTGATACTATAGTATAAAAAAATACAGTGATTAAAGCAAATTAAACATAAGGAGGAAAACAAACATAAGAAAAAATATAATTTCAACACAAGATGAATTCTAGATCATATTGAAATGTATTGCCTATCTTAAAACTATGAGTACAACCTGACAAAAATGTATAGTTAGTTAGCAATAATTTCATTGTTGCAATTATCTGATGTAAAAGAAAGCACACACACTGTGAGTGAAAGGGCATCTTTCAATCTAACCACTGCAGGTAAAATTAGTCGATGCAGCTGAAGTTGGTTGTGATTTAAAAGTGTCATTAAAATCAGTGGAATATATATATAGTCTTCTACTATTGTTGCTTGATATGTGGGCAATAAATATTAAACAAATGTGCGATCAAAGACTCTCTGCCCTTAACTGACTTGTTACATTTGCATTTAATCTTGTGGCGTGACCATAAAATTCTTTCCACATTTTAAAATATATGACATTAATTTGAAGCTGAACCAAAAATAAAAAGTGGTATGCATAAGTTTTAGTTGGCTAATTTAAAATTAATTACAACTTCTGGTGTAGCACCTTTTAAAAGTATGTTTCAAATTTGAAAGGAACATTTGTTAAGCAGTTGTGTTTTGCTCATTTTCCAGGGTTTCAAAGGGATTTCTCAGCATAATGGGCACAGTATTACAAATAGCAGGGGCTTTGGACAGCTTTTTTTAAAGTTCACATACTAGGCCCAGTGTATTACAGTCTATTGTTTAACTTCAGATGAATTGTCCTTTTTGTGGTATAGTAGCTATCATCTTCCTCTGAAGACCATATCTTTTAGTACATCTTGACAGGAAAAGCTTGGGTTTTTTGATACTATAGTAACTGACAGTATTTGATTCACACTTTTGAAATAGGCAAATTAAACATACAGAAGAAAACAAAAGACAAAATATTGTTATTATATTTTTATCAAACATTGTTATGACAAGATGAATTTTAGGCCATATTGAAATATCTTGCCTGTCTTAGAACTACTACACAACGAAAATGTATGGTTAGTTAGCAATGGTTTCATTTTTGCAATTATCTGATGTAAAAAAAAAAAAATCAGTGAGAGGAAGGGCATCTTTCAGTCTGATCCATTGCAGGTGGAGTAAGGCAGTGGTTATATTTCTTACATATTATGGGGGACAGCCAGCATCCATTTAAAAAAAAAAGAAATAAGATTAATTTTCCATGATTCTCTTCTTGCCTCCCATTTCTCCATAGGTTCACCTTTTTTAGCCAATGAAGATGGTGTTCTGGGAGGAGTGATAGTTCTCCGCTCTTGTAGGTGTTCTGCAGAGCCTAACTCTTCACAGGATAAACAGTCTCTATTAGGTAAGTATGAGAAGTAAGCTTTGAATAAGTTATCCAGTTATTATTAAATATAATAATTACATTTTACCTCTATGACTTGAAAAACCAAAATAAAAACAGTGCAGAATTTAAATACTTACCAATTGATAGCCTATTAATTTCTTTTCTGAAGAAATCTTACTACATTTTAATTACATCTAGGTTTCTGAAATAGGTATAAAGCGGGAGGTGGAGAACAGAATACTAAATGGGAGGTACTGTGTAAGCTAATGTATTGAATATCACCAAGGCCTTCTGGAGAAGTTTGCTATTCCCCTTGCTCAGAGATCTCCAACCCCTGGGCTGTGCCCCACTAGCATGCCGCAGCCTGTTTGGAACCGGGGCACAGAAGAGGCGGGTGAGAACATACACATAAGTTCATTTGTGCGAGCGGTAGGTGTGTGTGCCTGCCACTCGCACATAACCATTGACTGAGGCAGACTGATAATTTTGAATCACTTTTCTAGAATAAAAATCATTCCCTCTTTCTTTATAGGGGAGAAATAGAAGGAGGGACAGCATGATGATTTGGGGGCAAGTTCTCATTTAAAAAAAGGAGCCATAAGATCTTTTCCTTCCAGCAAATAAGGACTTGGCCCTCCCCAGCTGCTAATGCAGACAGCAGAAACATTTCCTCGCTGTCTAAAAATTGCCTTGGATGGCACAGGGAAGCAAAAGGAGCTTTGGTGTTTCTGGCATTCAAGCACTGGAACATGGAACTAACGGGGATTTTCTTTAGCCAATAGTCCACATATTTCTCTCTCTAGTAAATTGGATGTCTTTCATACACCTTTCAAACAAACATCCATTTTATTTCAAAGAATAAGAGGCTCTTTCTTCTTGTTTTTAAGCAATTTATTGGGAAAATAGACAGGATACTTCAGTTAGTAAATAAACACTTTTTTTTCTCCTCATAGTAGAGTTCCTGTGGAGTCATACAACAGAAAGCATGTGTGTGGGATATATGTCAGCACAGGATGGCAAAGCTAAGGTAAGCCACAAAGAATAACTTGTGAAAACTAGTTGCCACTTAAAAATGAATTCCTTACTTTATTCAACAGGCTGGTTTTAAGTTATTCCTATACTGAAGTAAAAATAAAGTAACTGAAGAAAAATTAATTCCATTGTTTAATTTGTCACGTGGCTTTCCATGGCCACAGAAACTCTTGTGCAACTCAGGTAGCATGGCCAAACTATGGTTTATGTTTGTAAGATGCCAAGTGGCTCATGCTGTTTCGCCTCTCTTTCATGGTTGTACCCACAGAATACTCCAAGTTGCCAAACCATGATGTTTGAACTGGCCTGTTTTCGATAGCATAATTGAAATAGCTAGAATAAACAAATGGAAAATGAATAGCTAAAAAGGTTACACTAAAAGGGTTGTGCAGAAAGCTTTTTTTTTTTTTTTGCCATCACTACTTGCTCAAGTTTAGACTACTCCAGAACTTTGACCACAAACTATGCTTTGCATGAGAGGGAGGAAATGCTATCGAAAGTAGATGCATAACTGAGGTGAAATTGAGGTCATGAAGTTTTATGAGCTGGACGAAACAGTGGATTGGTGAAGAAAAAAATAGACTTGCTTTCAGAATGGCTAAGAAAAATAAACTTGTCCACAGAATGGCCCATTAAACAGGCCGTTGTGGCCAGGTTCTTTATAGCATGGATGCACAATATGTGGCCTCCAGATGTTGCCAACCACAACTCCCAGCAGTCTCAGCATAACTAATACTGTGGATGCTGAAGATGTAGTTCAACATCATCAGATTGTGGGCATGTCTAAGGCACAATTTTAGATTTGCAAGTTGTTGTTCAAATTACTAAAGCTGCAAACTAGAATCATTTCAGTTTCCAATTATTCAATTTGGCCATTTGTAATTGCCTTGTTTGTTTGTAGTATTACACTACAATACAGGTAGTCCTCAACTTATGACCACAATTGAGTCCAACATTTCTGTTGGTAAGCGAGATAATTGTTAAGTGAGTTTTGCCCCATTTTACAACCTTTCTTGCCACAGTTGTTAAGTGAATTACTGCAGTTGTTAAGGTGAATCTGGCTTCCCCATTGACTCTGCTTGTCAGAAGATCACAAAAGGTGATCACATGAACCCAGATATTGCATAAGTACAAGTCATTTGTCAAGCATCTGAAATTTGATCACATGATCATGGGGATGCTGTTATGGTCGTGTGAAAAATGGTCATAAGTCACTTTTTTCAGTGCTGTTGTAAATTTAAATGATCACTAAACAAACTGGTAAATCAAGGACTAACTGTATATTGCTTCTCATGCAGGCACTGGGTTTTTAGCTGGGTTTTTAAAAATTATTTCTCATAAACTTAGAAAACAAAGCTTGCAAATCACATTCTCCCCCTTTATGATTTCTTTCAGTATTTCATGGTATACATCGATATTAAAAAAAAAAATTAATTTTGGAGCGTAATAGGGGTTTTACGTATATGCTGTGGGAGAAAAGCATTAATACTTTATTGGCACAGAGCTAAATTAAATATTAGATTAGAAGTAATGCAATTGCTAAAGTTGTATCTGTTTTGATGATGCCCACTGCGACCTTGATGCTAAAAAGACTAATAGCTCAGGGTTATGCCCAGAGATCTTTTATTTTCTTACTTGTAGATCTTTCATTGGACATCTGGTGTGCATTGTTTTCATACTGCTGGCAAATTCTCCAGCTGGCCAGGTTGATTGGACTGAAAGATGCAGCTGCTCTTCTTGGTTCACTTTTAAATTATGTTTACGACCTTCCCTCAGCAGTGTTAATCCCTCTTTCTTCTCTTTCTTTGAACCTGTGGTTGCAAATGTTTTCTTGAACCACAAATGCTATGCTTGGTCCCGATGGAGATCAACAAATAAGATGCTCTTGGAAAAGGTAGAATTCTATGATCTTGGAAGATGTGAAAACTTAGTGATAACAAGGAAGGTTCAACTTACACTGTACTATTTTAAAAACCCCAGATGAAAACCCAGAAAGTAAGTATATCAGGATAAAACAGAAGCGTCATGCCGACTGCCGTAATAGTGCTCAATAATTGTTTTTAAAACACTAATTCCCATTGCAACTAACACATACTTACTGTGAAACAGATGATGAACCTGTATCTCTCACCCATCTGTATGTAGTGTGTGTGATTTATATTTGAACAAACGTTCCTATTTAAATATAATTAGGAATCTATTTGATTCTACCATCCATATATGTGATATATCTATTGTACTCTTTAACGTCTCTCAGGTTTCTTAGACAAGTACTTGCTGGACTTCTGAAAATTCAGCAGATGGGATTTTTATTCTTAAAGTGATATTTAGGTATTGTACCAACATGTCTTGGAGTTATTAGCCAAACTATTTTTTCTTCTATGTAACTTAGAAGAATATATATTACATTCTGGAACTGACTGGGGAATTTTAGAGGGGGGGGGGGAAATCTAGTAATTTTTGTATGTGTCAATTAACGAATTGCACTTCACAGGATTATTGATTTTTCTTTTTCTTGAATGCTTACCATACTGTCACTTTATTTTCAAGTACCTGCTTTCTTTGTCTTTGACTCTCCATGGTTGGCAGTTTATCACTTGGCAATAATAGCTTTCCAGGAAAGTGTAACAGAAGATGGCATTAAGAGTTGCTTAATTTATAAAATGGTTCACAATCATGATTTCACTTAAAATAATAACTCACAGAGTTTGTAAGTGTAACTATTGTATCTTTTCCATCAACCATATTTAGGCAGTCTTAAAATACATTTTGAGGAGGAAGATGAAAAATGGCTGGCTGGAAGGAAAGAATCCATTTGCTTGCAGAAATGTTATTTTGGGCCACAGTTCAATTTAACTCATTTGTACCATTTCTCTCTTTCAATGTGATGCTTCCTAAAATTAGCAGTGTGTTTCTTTGAAACCATATTGAAAAAGTAATGTAGAAAAATCTGTATTCAGATCTTCTTGGAGATTATAGAGAGACTTAAGTGAGCACTTGAGGGAAGAATTTGTGGTATAATTTCATTGTGGGTTTATGTATGGGTGGTAGGAATGGAAGTACTTATTATTGTGGGGTACACACTCTTTTGTTTCTCAAATGCTGTACATGGTTGCCAGAAGGAGAATCACTCATCGTAATGGAGCTAACTCAGTTTTATCTCTGCTTTAATACTTTCTTTGAGTTTCAGTCTTAACTATTTATTCAGTAACGACTTCATGAATTCTAATGGTGTTTTTTTCTAAATGTGTATTGTTTATAACTTATACTTTCTGCTTCAACTATAGAACTCTTGTTTCGTCAAAGATAAGATAAATTTCTAAAATCCATGTTAAGAGTATCATATTCACTTCTTTTATTCCCCTTGGATTTTTATACTTGGTTTTCCAAAATTTATACTCTCTAGAATTTCAAGTTCTAAACTAATTCATTTAGAATCTAATTTTTGAGTGCTTAGTTACTAAAACTGCTGGGTTTCTAAATGTAATAGCCAATTTTAAACATATTCCTTATTCTTTGAGCTAATGCTATGAATCCTGAATCTGTCCCTAGTTTTTAATTGTTTTATGTTGTGAAATGTATATATTTTTCCATTCTTCAAAACAATTTTAATATTAGACTGTTGAAAAAATTCAAATGAACGACAACATTGTATGCCACTGTGTTTGCAGTGGAAAGCTGTGTATCCCTACAAACAACTGAAGATTGAATAATCACCAAAATATATGAGAACATGGGCATTTCCATGAAAAGAAAAACTATAATGTAAGCCCCAAAGCTAGATGTGGGAAAATGTCCACACCCACTAAGGGCCCTATGGCCCAGGGTTCAGTAATGTTTACTCGTCAAGCTTTGGCTGATTAGAATTAGGGAAACTAAACCCTATGAAGAAGGTTAAAGGATCTGGTTATAGTTAGCTGAGAGAAAAAGTGGCTGAACTACAATAGCAGTTTTCAAATATCAGAAGAACTATTACACAGGAGTGGACTGATTTCGCTTTTACCTCAGAGCGAAGGATCAAAGAAAGTTAAAAATGCAGAAGAGGAAGTTCAGGGTAAATATCAAGAGGAAATTCCTGATCACATAAACGGTCAACTATTGTAGCAGGATTTCACATGATGTGCTAAGTTCCCCTTCACTAGAGGGTTTCATATGGAGCCTGGAGAGGGTCTGTCAAACGTGCAATGGTGGATCATATAATGAACAGAGTGCTGGCATAAAGTTGCTTCCTTCTCTAGAACTAGGTGAAAAAGGAAATGTCTCAATGACAACAATGCATAGATCATTAATTCTGGAGGTTTTATACCCGAGATTGGCTTGATGAGTACTCTGTATTATTAACTGGTAATTTATTATTGGTAGTTTATTATTGAAGGGCATTTGTGTTATCAAAACATCCGAAATGTTTTCCTCAGTGTTCTTTGAATGCTTTAAGTGCAAGATGTTTTGAAGTACTTTCATTTGCTGGTATTTATGGGTAATGCCCCAATGTGACTACACTACAATTAAACAGCTAACCACCAAAAGTCTTTGTTTTTCTGTCAGCTTGCAGGTGACGTAGTGCCTCATCTCTCAGCAATGCATTGGCATTGGTTTATATGGATGTGTGTTGTACTTCTGCAAAAGTCAGCCAAAAGACTTGTCTGTCATGAAGCATTAAACATATTTTTTTTAAATATGCAGAATACATTTACATTTCTGCCCTATGGCGTCAGAACTGTCAAGTTGCACTGTATTGTGTAACTTTTTTGTCCAGTGCTTACTTTGATAAAACTTGCATTCTTTTAGCGTATTGTTTTACCTTAAGAAAAGTAGACATTTACAGTAGAAAATTCCATAAAATTCCATCCAAGTCATATCTGCATTTATAAGTCTATAACAATATTGTTTTTTAATATTGCTTACAACAAATTGTGTGGTTTGTGTGTTCAGCTTTTTTTAATCAGCTACAATGTTACATAGTTATTGAATAATCATTGTTCAATTCTAAAGTCTTAAGATTCTGTATTAATGAATAGGAAATATAATTCAGAACCTTAAATTTATCCTTTTGATTTCAAATGCATGTATATTTCTTATTTATTGCCAACTTTATGTTTAAAATGAACCCTTAAAAGGATTGCAATTTATAATTGCACACAAATTTACAAAAAGCACAATAAGTAAAATTAATGAAATGAACAAAATGCAGACAATGAAGGCATTAACCTCTAAAGAACTGGTGGGTTTTGTTTTTGTTTTTTTTTACAAATTTTTAGGAAGCAGTGAGTTCTAGGGAGAATGCATTCCATAGCATTTTCCCTAGAGAGGGAGTCTGTTTTTTTATACACAATACATAATTTTTGATGGCAGGAGCAATTTCTGCTCTCCAGGACAGAAGGACTTTCTAGAGATCTTACTGTCTGGACAGATTTGTAATGTGAAAGGTTATGTCATCCTTTCAAGATAGACCAAACTAGAAAACCAATGACATGTAGGTTAATACAACTTATATCAGTGGTTCTCAACCTGTAGGTCGGGACCCCATTTGGGGTCAAACAACCATTTCACGGGGGTCGCCAAACAACGCAGTCCGCCATTTCCCCCCCCCCTTTTCCTTAGCTGTGCTACTCCCTTTTATTCTATTGGCTTTTGAAAGCCAATAGAATAGACTCTCTTGAATAGAGTCTAATTCTATTGGCGTTCAAAATCCAATAGGAATTGTCCAGGCTGTCTCTGCCCTGCTGAGCCTGCCAAAAGTCCCATTCTGCAAACGGTGCTGCACCGGTTGAGTAGTCCTCGACTTACGACCAGTTGAGTAGTCCTTGACTTACGACCGGTTGGGGGTCGCGGCATTAAAAAGGTTGAGAACCACTGACTTATATTGTAAAGCTATAGTAACAAAATATTCCAAGTCTGAATGTGCTCCCACTCCTTTCATGTGAACTGTCCAAAATATTTAATCATGTTACATTCTTGCCCCAAACTCAAGCTGCTTTTATCTAACCATTGCCTAGGTGGTGGCTCTTCCTCCTGTCCCTCATGGCCATTCCCTCTATATTCTATAGGTGGTGCATCAGGTAATCATTTAGGGCTGCAAAGTTTGACATTTTAAATGGCATCTCACAACCAGTGCTGATATTTTGGTGTTGCTATTATGTCGCCCTGAAATCTCACAGTCTCATTCCTATATTTTTTACCAATTGCAAGTTCTGGATACTTTTCAGGACTAGCCCATATAAGAATGCATTGCAGCACTCAAGACAGAAAGCAACTTGGTTATGGGTAACTACTATGCAATGAGACCAGCCCAGGAATGGTTATAGTTTGCATGCCAGATGCAATTATGCTCCTTGTCATAATTCCTTAGTTATTTATCAAGTTAGGGCTGAGGATCAAATTGCACTCCTTGGCCGTGGTTCTCTTTTTGCAGAGGAAAATGCAAACCTATCCAGAACAAGCTGAACTCCAATCCCCTAATCTAGTTTTCTATTGACCAAAGGAATCTTCATTCTGTTTGGATTAAATTTCATCTTATTTTCCCTCATCTAATCCACCACTGAATTTAGGCAATGTTAAAAAGTATTCAGTATTTCTCTGGAATTAGATGGCACTGACTTCAAAACCTGGAGAGTCAAGTTGGAATTTTATGGGACTTTGTAAGCCAATGACCTAGTTGCTAAAGAATAGTAACCCAGCATCAGTTTCTTGACACTACTTCTGATACAACGAAAAAAACCATTGGAAAATTCTTAAAAGAACACAATTCAGAAGAATTGTCAAGCTCTGAAGGATTGGCAAACTCAGAAAAAAAGTACCATTTGGATTTCTGGAAAGATCTTTTTTGCTAGTAGGGAGATATAGCAATATAATTTCCCTGCACAACTTATATCTAGTGCAATTAAGGTGGGATTATTCTGAGTCTTTATCTCATGCTTCCCCTATCCCCTGGACTCAAGAAGCACTTCCATAATGACTCTGTTCTCCCTTAACTACCAGGATGCCTCTTATACATCTACTTTTAGGCATTCCATCATCATGATATCAGAAGCTGGTTTGTATTTACTACAACAGGCTGAGATGGTCTTGCCAATTCATTTATCACTCACAAGGTGACCCTAGTCCCCTATTCCTCCAAATACTCAATTGTCCTTCAGGTAGCATCTAGAATTGTAACGCAGCCTCGTCTCAGCCGCTTTGAGTGGAATAGTCGCAGTTACTTGCAGCATATTTAAGAATGTAGGCTTATTTGTTCATTCTTGTTAATCAGGGTTTTTTTTTTGTCCCGTTTTATTTGTTAAGTTCTCAAATTCTCACATGTTTCTTTACAGACTCACATTTCAAGGCTTCCACATGGAGCTGTGGCAGGACAGTCGGTAGCAATTGAAGGAGGAGTTTGTCGATTGGAAAGCCCAGTGAACTGAACCACTATGTCATGGGGTCAGCACAAATGCTATTTGTATAATAAGATCCTTTGTGTTTTAAGAGAGAGTGAGATTTCTATTATTTTATATACTTTATTGCAACCACATGCACCCTAACTTGAAACAAGTGCTGCTGTAGCTTTAGATTCTAAAAATTTGTTTGAATGTATATGAGAACACATCTCCCAGGAGAAAAGAAATTCGGTTCTCGCTTGCTTGAAATATTTTAATGTTAGAAAAGATTTTATGAGCTACTTAATCAGTCTGTAAGACAATAACGTCCCAGAAAGAAATGGTTTTAAAAAATAGAAGGTATGCTGATCACAAATGCTATATTGAGAACATACAGACTACGAAGTGAGTTGAAATAAACAAGTATCAGAATGTACTCAATACTATTTGATAGTCTCAGGATGGTCCCATGATTGCTTACGCATACCCTGATTTTCCAATGGGATATAATAATTTCTTTCTAGCAAAGAGGGATTGATTCCAGTGAAACAGTCTAGGACAGGGTTTCAGCCAGACTTTTTATGTTCAGTTATTCAGTTGTACTTATTTTGGCTTAAATGTTACATAGCTTAAAGCTTTTATGTATTATGAAAGGCTTTGTAACGGTAACGTACAGTCTTTACTTTGTATAACTGCATATTGGGATGTACATAAGAACAACATTTATTGAAAGAGTTAGTACTATTCTTTGGTTTAAATATATTATGAAAGAATAATATAGAAATAAACTATTACTGGACAATGCAAAATGTATTAAAGTGGTGATGTAGAGGAACCTAATTCTAGCTTTCTTCTGTTCCTTAAATTTCAAAGTTAAGGTAAATGGGTATGCATGTGTGCAATTAAATTTACATGTAATGTAAGTGGTGTTACAAGTGGCCTTTTAAATAATTTATGCAGCCAGAATCTATGGATGGTACATATTTTCATATAATGTATGTTGTAAATATGGTTGGATTTTTCTGAAATTGTTTCAGGATCTTCAGGTTTCTTTCGATATGTATTTGGGTGTAATGGCTGTAAGACAATCCCTTAAAAAAAAAAAGTCTAGCAAATGAGCTATTTGAATATTACCAAGAGATGATATAGCCATTCTTTAGAAGTACTTGCTCAACAACCTCCAAACTATTGTTAAACATCTGCACTGTACTTGTCCTCTCTAACTGAAGTGTCAACAAACAGTTTTATATAATTAGAAGAAAATATTGTTTACAACTGTTTCTAATTTCGTAAAAAAGATGAACTCGTTTTATTGTTGATATCTGAATTTTTTAAGCAATACAATTCACTATGATTTCTAGTCATTTCAGCAGAGGCACAGATGGCTTACAAATTGTTGCCACAAATAGCTGTCCAGAAACACAGTATGTCCATAAATTCAATATTTTATCACTAGACTCATTTGAAAGTGTACATTACAACTGTGCCACTCATTCTTTCAATCATTCATGCTTCAGAGGAAGTAGTTCTTTATAGTTTGAGAAAAGCTAGTTTTTGAAGAAAAAAAAAGATTGATCCTTTATTGTGTCTATTTTAATACTGATCAAAAGTAAAGTAGTTAGTTTAACACACCCTTAGAAATATGTAGATGGCAGACAGGGAGAGAATTATATGTTATGCTACTTAATTTACTATGCACATAGTTTGGATTTTCCTAATAGTAGCCCTTACCTCTGGACCAAAAATATGACACATGCTATATTTGCTTAATTCTTGCATCGTGACTTTATCACTTGCCCAGTTATACATTATATGAAGACAACTCACCATAGAAAACCCGATCCAACCACAGATTCTTACTTTGATGATATTTCTACTCTCATAATGGCAAATATTTTTTTTTTATTCAGTATCTTAAAAATATTGAAAATGTACACGTCACTACTAGGATAGTATCGTCATCTGTTTTGAGCACTTTGGTATGTATGTCATTAAATTACACTTCAAGGTAGATAATCTGATGGGTTTATAGTATTATGAAAATATCCATGAAAAAGGAATGGATGTGTAGCAGAAAAAGTTACCAAGTGTAGGTGATAGGATCCTATCCCCCTCTGTTCATTAGTAAACAGATTATTCAACATTGAACTAAAATATTTGGTCCTGAAACATTTTTTTAAAAAAGAAAGCTAAATCATTATAAAGGTTGTAAAAGTTCATTCTCCAGCGTGACGAGTGGAGAATCCACCAATGGGTTAACTTCGTCTTCTGCCCGCAGACTAGTCGTCCAATTTTTCTCCACCTCTCCTCTTGGAACCTCCCTGACCCAGTCTCGACTAGTCTTGAGCCCGTTTAGACTGAATTCTTGACTCCTGAAGTGATTCTTCTTTAAGGTCGTATATTTTGGTCAATCCGTGGTGGGGGAGGTACTGCAAGAAGGAACGGCTGTTCATTTGAGCCCTTTCTGCTGCCGGATTGCAGTTCAACCACGAGGCTGGCCTGAGCCCAGCCGATCACCAGACAAACAAGGAACCGGACGCCATTTCCCGGTCACCAAGTGTGACCCTGAACAAAGGGAGAGACAATCTCATTTCCCCCCCCCCAAACCAATCGTCCCACAAAGCTAGCCAGGATAGCCAAAGCAAATTCGGAATACATTAGCATAGCTGATCAGCGGGCAATTTAAACCTCCCGCAGATCATATGGAAGTTGGCGAGCCGCGTGGGAACAATAGGGGGCTGGTGAGCTGCAGAGGAATATCATAGCTCTCCAAGGCTCTTGCCCTAAATTCAACTAAAGACCTCGAAGGTTCCTGTTATTTTCCATTGCCTGAAGCGGGGATTAGCTGGTCGGCGGAGGACTTTTAAACTCCGCAGCTCCCTCACAGAGTTTCCCTGCATCTCTGCAACTCCCTTGCAACTCACGCTGACCGTATTCCACTGAATACAAGCACAGTTGTTTTTTTCTTTGGGCAGTCTCCAGGAAATTCAGTTGAGGGAGACACGAGAGAGACTTGGGTTTGACCAATAACAACCTCAACTCACCCAAGCTCAATCCTTCTTCCTAGCCACATAGGAATAATAATAATAATTAAAGTAATAATAATAATTAAAAAAATAAAAAATTGATATTAATAATAATAGTAATAATTGAAGAGCATAAGACATAGATCAGCTCACAATTACCCTGAACCAGACCGGAATTGAATTTTATTCCAGTTAAGAATGGCAGATACCAGCACAGTTCAAACAGTGCAGGAACCTGCCACCACCAGCCCACCTGCTCGTAAAAGACAGAGATCACCCAAGCAGGAGGTGGCTAGGAAGATCAAGGCCAAGGCAACATCTTTGGAAGGCCTTTTGGAAGGCCAAAAGGCCTTCCAAAACAGCGGATAGGGAGGCTAAGCGACATCACCAGGCTCTAGAGAGACAATTCTCGCGAGCCGAAAGGAGACAAAACTCCACTGAAGATGAATTGGAGCCACCCAATTACAGGGAGGAGGAAATTTTTGGCACAAGATAGCCCAGCCAGGAACCTCTGGAAACAGAGGCTGATACGGAACAGGGGGACGGCTCTCCCCTAAGCAAAGGGCCTGGAGATCTGGGTTCAGAAGCAGTCACCCATCGCTCAGATAATCATGGAGCAATGTCTTCAGAGCACCTTCAATCCCTGATATCTCAGGCTGTCGCACAGGCCATGGCCTCCTCAAGACACCATTGTTCCAGAACAAGGTCTGTGGCCTCTAGGGATGGCTCCTGCTTTTCTCAAGGGGAGCCTCTGAGTACCAAGACTCTATTTCCTCCTCCAGGTCCTCCAGAGGCAGGAGATCTCCTGCAGAGGACCATGAGCTGACAGATCAGAGACTGTCTGACGAAGAGGATGTATCTCCAGATCCTCTCCCGTTTGTAGGACTGTTCTGTCCTTATTCAAGACGCTGCTACATAAAGCCAGTGGCACTGCAAATATAGAGAGGACCCCGATTCCGCAGAAAGAAACCTCCACCAATCCCTCAACTAGTAAGGTCACAAACAACAAAGTGTTTTCACAGCCCACCTATACCCAACACTTTGTCCCCTGTCCACCTCTCTTCTTTGATTCTGTTCAGAACAACATGGGGGCACCAGATTCCTTCCTCCCAATGGGGAGGGAGGCAGACAAGAAAATGTTCAACATAAATCCGGCACTATCAGAGATAATAGAAGTGCCAACAATAGATGAACCCATTTCAACCCTCTTTTCTCCACCCTCGATAGCCGGGGATGCAGCGGAGGCCCTGAAATCAGAAGACAAGAAGATGGACCTCATCTTCCGCAGGGCACACCAGGCCTCGGCGTGGGCAATCAAGGCAGGCATCACTGCTTCCTTTTTCGCCAGGACATCTCTTCTTTGGCTGCGCCAACTCCAGTCAAGAGTTCCCCCAGTGGAGGAGAAAACTCACCAGAATTTAAGAAAGTTAGTGGCGGCAGTGAAGCTCATGTCAGATTCCTCCTTACACGCAACCAATTTCTCTGCCAGAGCAATAGCGTACAATGGTGCATGCAGATTGCTGTGGCTCAAGCATTGGAGAGCGGACATGAAGGCTAAATGGCGTTTAGCGGCGGCACCCTATAAGGGTGGCCGGCTCTTTGGCGAGGTGCTTGACCCTTACCTAATTGAAAATAAGGACAAACGCAAGATCCTGGCCCACCTGACAAAAAGGATGGAGAGGAGAGCTCCCTCCTATTCCCGCAGACCGGCCTTCCGACCTGATGCAGGCATGGATCAGGGGACCTTTTCCCGTCCCTATCAGCCCAGATCGGACCGTCAAGGTGAGAGAAACAATAACAGGGACAGGTTCAGACAACAGGCCCAAGCAAGACGGCCCTTTTGAGGAGCCGGGGGGCATCCCTACCGCAGATCCAAGTGACGGCCCAGGGGGCCCCCCATTGGTGGCCGACTAGCCCTTTTTGCTCACAAATGGCAAGCCACCACTACGGACCTCTGGGTCCTAAATACTATCAGATTTGGCCTATCCCTAGAATTCCTCTCAACACCCCCGAACCGGTTCATTCCTTGCCTATCTCCAAAAGATCTGATCAAGAAGAACCTCACCAAGGAGGCCATCCAACACCTCCTGGACATTCAAGCTATAGAACCAGTAGAAAGAGATCAGTGGGGACAAGGATTCTATTCCATCCTATTCATAGTCCCAAAGAATTGGGGGCGGGGGTGGAGAGTAATACTAGACCTAAAGAGTCTGAATAGACACCTGGAGTATAAAAAATTCAAAATGCAAACCCTTCGCTCGATATTAGCAAGCATTAGGAAGGGGGACCTTCTGACGTCCATAGATCTGACGGAGGCCTACCTTCACATTCCCATACTTCCGGATCACCGGAGGTTCCTCAGGTTCTACCACACAGGTCAACACTTCCAATACAGGGCCCTACCTTTTGGACTTTCTTCAGTTCCCAGGGTGTTCACAAAGGTATTGGCAACAATCGCCGTGCACTTGAGAACAATTCCGGTGCGCATCCAATGCTATCTGGACAACATTCTTATCCAATCCTCATCGGCCCAGACAGCACAGTCAGACCTGGCACTGACTCTGAAAATCCTTCAAGACCACGGGTTCTCAGTAAACTTTTAGTCAGACCGTTCCCTCAAACTGTCTTCTTCATCTGGGAGCGGTCATAGACACACAAAAGTGCACGGTGCATCTCTCTCAGGACCGTCAACACAGCATTCGAACCCTGGTCAGGCTCATCCGAAGGAAACGGTCCTCAACGCTGGCTACACTCTCACAGCTGCTAGGAAAGATGGTGTCATGCCTCACAATCGTACCTTGGGCAAGGCTACTCTCCAGAGATCTCCAGTGATTCCTACTTCCGTTCCAAAGAGTGGGGATAGGCTCCTCAAACCAAAGAGTGAAGGTGCCACCAAAGGTCCTGAGGTCTCTCCAGTGGTGGTCCTCCCCAGCGATGGGGAAGGGACACTTGTTTCTGCTAATGAGGAAATGAAACTAGTAATTTTAGACCCTCCTTCAGGATGCGAATTTAGGTAAGGGAAGCCTAAAGAATAGGCCTGGTGCTGTGATACATAGAGCTTCAACTGGAAAATTAGTAAAATTACTGCTAGCTTTGTTTTTTTAAGTTAAAGGGTCCAGGGATTGGGGAATGGGACAACTCGCCATGGGACAACTCGCTGCAGGACAATTTAACAATTCTTATTTAAAATAAAAATTATTTTAATTTTTGCCATTCACATTTCATTCTGTCTCTCCTTTTGCATCCTTTCTTTAACAATCTATTCCACTATTTCTTTGATATTAGTGTAACTCTCGTCCCGCACTGAATTGTTCTGTGGCAACCTGGCCGTGGGCGAATTGTCCATGGCAAATTGGCCATGGTGAGTTAGCCGTGGCGAACTGTCATGGACCCCCAGGGATTGTCTTTTAATGTTAAGAACAAGACAAAAATATCAAAGATGAATGAATTCCAACAGAAGGGAGCCACACAGTCTCTAATAGCGTGTCATTTTTTTTTACTCTAAACAAATAACATGTAATTCAATGAAAAATTGTACTTGAAAATTGAAATGCTAAAGGAATGACAATATGTGAAGTTGCATTGTAAATACACATTGTTTGTGAACTGTTGATTTAGGGTAATCGAACAATTACACTGGTAGAGGCAGTAGACAGGTTGGAGCTGTAATATTCTGTTACTTTTTTTAACAAGAATATAATCTATGTTATTTTATCTACAGTAAAAATGTATGTGAACGTTAAAAAAAGAAAATAATATGGAATTCTAAGGAAATCTCATGGAATGTATATTAAAGTTTTTAAAACATAAATGATGGATGATAGTGTTTTAAAATACTATTTAAAATGATATTTCTAACAGTGAGTATAATTTGGGGGATGTTGATGCACAGAAGAAAATGTTTTATTTTCTGCATGTTTTGAGATTATATCATATAAATCTTCCCAACCAATGAATCTCACACACCAAATGTCCTGCCTGATGAAGATGGTAATGAAATATTTGCAACCCATAAATTTAACTCAGAGAATGTTAATAACAAAGCAGACCAGTCCTGAGTATTACCTATTCTGTGCTATGATTATATTCTGGTAAACTTTTAAAGCAAAACAGTTATTTCATGTTACTCTAAAATACTATATTCTCCTCTGTGTATAATTTGTAGCCTGGAATTCCATTAGTATCGCAACCAGCTTCTGCAATAGAATTACCAAGTTATCCGATCCAGCACATATCATAGTAAGTCAATGCAGTTTTAAAATTTCATTAGATCATAACATATATTGACTTGATGTATGTCACTAGAATGCAACTTGGTTAGCTGCAATTTACTGAATTAGCATTTGCTGTGAATTCTGTCTAGCTGGAAGCTAGACTTCCATTGGGAGTTCTGGAAGTTGGAATCTCAGCACATTTGGAGGTTGGAGAAATTACATTTTAATTTTCACACCATCCTTTAAATGCTTCATCTAAAAAGCTGGCTTCAGTCTGTCCAAGTTCCAAAGGGACATCATTCTCAGTTTTTGATCTGGACAAAAACAGTTTGCATTTTCACTGAGGAAGCCAATTGTATGGGGAAAAAAAAAAAAACAAGATCTGCTCACTTACTTACACCCAGCCAGAGAAGAAATCAAGAAAATCATACTGGCTCTCATGTCTGCTAGAGGAGGAAGGATTAAATATAAAACTGGCAAAGAAACACACAGAAGGATTAAAATGCCAGCATTCACAGCCCTTTAAAAAACTAGTAGCCAAACTGAGGGTGGTTCACTCTGACCAGAGCATAATGACTATGAGAAAAAGACCACAGTGGAAGGGGAACCAACTGCAGTTGCTGAAAACAGGGAAGAAAGCCAGTTGAGTGAAAGCTAATCATTTACTACTGTATCTCTTGAAGAAAAAGTATTTTTTTCAGAATGATAATTAAATGAAATATTTGACAAGGCCCTGGAGAGAAAGCAGAAGTATATAATCTTCCTGACATCCACAACTGCTAAGGGCTATGACAGCATACAATTACCTCTGAAATATTTTTGATATTTCAGTGTTAAGATGTTGTTTTGAAACTGTGTGCTGTACTCCAAAGAAAGTAGTTGTATACTTGTCTCTTTAAAATAACACCTTATCTTGAAGCACAGTTTGAGACATTCAGGGCATGATGAATAAAAATTAAAATATAGAAGCTGATGGGTGATTCTGCGGTTGGTCCATGGATATAGAAGTGTCAAAAAGAGTAATATTCCAAGGAGGTTTATAATCTGTGGAGTAGGTATTGATGATAGTGTGGATGCATTGCTGGGAATCAGTTGTGTTGATTAGTACCAATGATAGATTATCTTTAGACATACTCTGCTTGTAACTACCAAAATTACCAGCCAGTGTGGCCAAATTTTTAATCCATTAAATTGATGAGGATGGGCAGTTTGGCAAAAACTTCTTAGTTAAGGGAAAAACATTCTTCAAACTTGGTCCCTTCCAGTATTCATTTTGTATTAATGAGAGCCATATTTTCATTTAGAAGCAGTTTTCCTTAGAAGTAAAATGGGGGGGGGAGAGACAGTAACTACATACCAGATGATTCTACTCTGGCTAAATCCTAAAAAATAAAGATTAATGGTATTTAGTGGGGGAAACAAATCTGTTAAAACACATTTGTCTGTCCTCAATTGAACTTTCCCCTTGAGAACATCATGTTCCCTTAATGGGGATGGTTGCATAAAGCTCAAAGTCACATCTGGATTCAGATGTATTTGAAAGACATTCTCTTCATTATTTCTTTATAAAAGCAGAGGCCAGCTTTAATATAATAAAGTAAGCCAATTATACATTTTCAACTCCTACACAGCATCCTCTGTGTACAGATATTAAAAGTGATTTACAAAGTTTAGCCAAATTGAAATACTGGCTTTACCTTTTTTTTCTGGAAAGCATTAAGTTTGGCAAAATTAATTTAGACTCAAACTGCATTTAACTACAACAATCTGCATAGATTGGAGATCTGAATCATCCTGATTCTGTGGGCGGATTCAGGCAGTCACTAAATTTTAAGGCAAACACGTACCGTATTTTTCTGTCTATAAGACGCACCCTTGTATAAGACGCTCTGACATGTGAGTTTCTCTGCGCCGATCAGCTATTTGGCAGAGTGCCGAACAGCTCAGCCGGCAAATCTGGAAATTCAGCCGGCTGACAATCTTGCCCCCTCCCATTAGTGTCAAGCCCACAGGGGCTTGACACCTGCACCAGGTGGCATGGCAACCCACACAGGGATGCCCTGGGCTGCGGAGGTTACCATTATTTTTCCATGTATAAGACACTGCACTTGTATAAGACGCACTTGATTTTTGAACAGGGTGTTTGCAGGAAAAAATAGTGTCTAAAATATGGTAACTTCTAATGAGGTTAAATAAAAGCTATCTAATTCTCCTGAGTCTGCACATCATAAAACACATAGATCCTAAATATAGTTTAGTTTTGGTGTGATGCTGTCTAGAAATAGCAATGTTTAGGATGCAAATTGCTCTCTTTAAGCCAAATTTTACTATGTGGCCTCTTTATGCTCTAGCTGCAACAAGTTAAACTTTGTAGCAGTCCCCCTTTGCCCCTTCTAGGACATTGTTGAGTATGCTCCCTGCATATTTTTCACTTATTATTTAATATTATTTAAAGATAGCACATACTTCCTGCTTGTGGGATGGCAAAACTGTCCATTAAGCATGTGAAAAACATTCCCTCTCCAGACACGGAACACTGCAGAGAATTCCATTCTTCCTCCAGGTTGCACTAATTCAGGCAGTTTTCTAGAAGTAAATCTTGGCATGGCATTATATGAACCACTGGAAGATTTATTTCCTAACCAGGAAGTAAATGATCTTCCTTTTTTAAAGAAGAGTGTCAATTATCCAAAATGATAATTTGGATTAATCCTTAAATTGAATTCCCCCCCCCCCCCCGGTCTTGATCCAGCCTCTTAATCACTGTACTATGCGGGTTTCCAATAAAATAAATAATAGTTTCTGGAAGAGTGTTTAATTTATTCAAATGTTTAGCAAGCAGTCTTCCAAGATACATAAATTCATCTACTTGTTCTAATTTTTATCTTATCTACGTCTAACAATTGTTTACTCTATTTTCTATGTCAACTTGAGACTGCTACAAGTATCTTTTTTTTCAGTGTCCTCATTTCATGGTACAATTCACTGCAAACTATACAAGTTCTTCACCAATGAAACAACTTTGATTGCACATTAAGGTACATCCACATTTATGCCTTTCATCGACACAGCTCTCCAAGATCTCCATTTCTTACACATATATACATAAGTACCGTAAATGCCGGCATACAAGGCGACCCGGCGTATAAGACGACCCTCGTCTTTATAGCCGGGCCGCATTCCTAGAACGTCGTCTTATACGCCGGAAACTACCAGTATTTCCGGCGTATAAGACTCAGCGTATAAGACGATCCCCGTCTTTGGCGCCGATTTCAGCGCTCACGGAAGTCGCCTTATACGCCGGCATTTGCGGTACCTAAAAAAACCAAGGAAACATCATACATCATTCTACTTCTTTAATGTTAACATTTCCTAACCATTCCATTAATCTTCAAGTATACTTTATTTAATAATAATAATAATAATAATTCCTCCAGTGAGGCACTACCTTGACGTGGTTGTGGGGCTTGTGTACTCTGAGGAAGATGAGAGCTATGCCAGAGGTTCAACCATACTGGACAGGTCTCATCAGAGGAGTCAGACAAAGACTGTCTCTCCCATAAAAAATATGGTGAGACGTAAATTACAGAATGCCATACTGCTATTAGTCAATTGCAAAAGGCAGCCTTACTAGGAACTGCTTCCATCCTGCGACGATATCTGTAATACCATCAAACATCCACATCTGCCTATCCCAGGTCCTGGGTAAGGACTCGATAGGTAGACAAAATGCCAAACCCAGTATGAACATCTGGCTGACTGTGCGATGATCCATAATAATAATAATAATAATTATTATTATTATGGATCATCGCACAGTAGTTCGTCCAATTCTGTTTCTGTGAATACTTTTTTTCGTGTTATAAATCGGCGTTGATCTGCTAGTCTCTGTTCTGTTATTTCTGATTCTGGATGTTCTTTCCAGAACTGGTGCATTCGTTTTAGATATCCTCTTCGTGTTGGACTTGATCTGTAGTAACAGATCATTATTTCTTTGTTTTCAATCACTGTGTATCTGCGATGGGTAAACACCTTTTCTTCCAGTAGTTCTGCAGCTGCGGGCCCTGGTTGCTCAGCCAACAGTCCTGAGTCCTGTAACCCATTTTTCACCAGATATCCAGGAACTCCAATATCTAGCGCGGACCTTGTTAACCCGGGCGACATCCAAGCTGGTATGGCATTCTGAAATTTACGTCTCACCATATTTTTTATGGGAGAGACACTCTTTGTCTGACTCCTCTGATGAGACCTGTCCAGTATAGTTGAACCTCTGGCATAGCTCTCATCTTCCTCAGAGTACACAAGCCCCACAACCACATAAAGGTAGTGCCTCACTGGGGGATTATTATTATTATTATTATTATTATTATTATTATTATTATTATTATTATTATTATTATTACAGCAACAGACAGTAAGTGCCGCCTATGCAAAGAAGCTGAAGAAACAGTGGACCACCTGGTAAGCTGTTGCAAGAAGATTGCACAGACTGACTACAAGCAGCGGCATGACAAAGTAGCAACAATGGTTCATT